GTATGCTAAAAGGCTGGTGTGTGAAAGCATTTGGAATAAAGCACTGCTGTCATCCTTCATTTTCAAAGGTGACACTACCTGACAGAGGATCTTGTCTGAAAAGATAAATTAGGGACCGTTACTCTTTTCTCCAGGGAGCATATATATATATATATAAGCCAGACCTTTGATTAGGAATCATCACTGCAATCTGCAATGCCTGCTGCCATTCGCAGCACTGCCTCCTAGACTTGAGGTCAGTCTTGGCTCCAAGCAATCAATTCCATTCCTGAGACTGTAAGGCCAGTCTGGCATTTGCTGTGGCTTCCCAGTCATCCAGGCTATTGGTTGTTTTATCTTATGATCTAAGTGTTACCGTCTAAGTGGGACTATCTACGCAATGATAATCTAGGTTAAGAGATCGTGATGTGAATACAATAATCCCACTTAAAATGCTCAATAACTTTTACATAACCTTGCTTTTTCAAAAACTCATTGAACAAAACTTTTATGAAGTTATCCATGAAATGTTTGAAGGTTTTGTTATCGTTCCAATCAACTCCATCATTTACTAAACTAAATAAAAATGTTGCCTGGGCTTGGGTGCGTCTCTTCTAACACATCGCAGATGATTTTACCAGACTCTCATTTGGGCCATACGTTCGTAATGAAGTCAAGATACATGTGGCACTGTAATTTGTTATTATCAGAGGTCACTTAAGTCCCTCGAGTGCAAGGTACAGATGAACTTGATTAAATAATCATCTTGTTATATCAAGCAGTTGGGTGATTAGTAAATTGATGATTTCAATTACAGCAGCTCTCTAGCCTGGGACAGAAAAGTGTAGGAAACCTAAAACTAATCACGTTCTGAAATTATTATTGGATGTAAAATCACCAGAACAGGGGAAAGGTGTAACATCCTTTAAAACTCACTCCACCCCAAAGGAATGTTATCAATGAAGCAGAGAACATTCAGTTTTAAAAAATAAATCTTAGTGATAGGAATACATGCAATTTCTTACCTTCATTTTGCTTATCTGTATCTGTTTTATTTTCTTCATTGAACGTTGACTATTTTGTGCTAAGGGAAATGTTATTTTAAAAGCAAAGAGATTGAAGGTAGCACAATGTGTATTAATATTAACCAGCTTTTTGTTACACTTGATCAAAAACAATACACTCTCTGGCTCATAGCTTCCGTCAACAACTAACCTGCTCGGTATGGCCATGATTGAGGTTCTTTTTTACTGGACAACGCAAGTTGTACAACACTGATCTTGCTTCTCCGGCAGAGATGAATAGTTCATTTGCCTGACGATCTCAGCAAAAAGTTCATCCACCATTGATTTACTTTTTGCCGATGTTTCCATGAAAGGACAGCCCCATTCTTGAGCCAGAGCTCTGCCTTCGGAAGACATAACCTCTCTTTCTGGTTCCAGATCCACTTTGTTTCCTACTAGGATTAGTGGGACTTTTTCATATCTCTTCACTCTGACAATCTGATCTCTCATCGGCTTGATATCCTATTCAAATGATCACAAAAAGAAAAAAAGTCATGCAGTTTGCATAACCATAACAGAAGTTATTACAATATCACAAGATAATAACTCCTCGGGAAGTACAGAAAGTTTAATCCAAAATAAAACCATACACCTAAACCGAGAAAATGTTATTTTCTCCACTGAGGTAGGAACTAGATAATCTCCACAGACCTCAGCTGCTGGGTTTCTGTCTAGAATATAAAATGTAGGCTGCACACTAACTTTAGGACTCATTGAATCCCTTCTTTCCCCCAGTCTATGCAGATTTAAAAAGTTCCCAAATATGAGGAATCCATTTGTACAGAAGGATGTTTGGCTAGCTCCTTAATCCTCCCGGCTTGGCATCATTCCTGAAAACACCTGTTATCCCAGCACAGGACTGCAGCATCTATGCATTCCTAGCCATTTAGCAAGAGTGCTTGAGACAAAGTGTTTCAGGTGGGAACAAAAACACTGGTGCCTAGAAGACCAATTCAAAACAGATTCATACACTTAAACATTTTAGGCCTTTATTCCAGTAAAATCAGACACCTTAAAATACACGAGAAATGAATGTAACAGTGAGCAGCAGCTCCTGGGAGAGACAAACGTACTGAGGAGTCTGGGCGGGAAGAAAGTCATACTTTTATTTGCCTATGTTAGGTTTCACAGCTTGAATTTTCCTCCGACTGTCTCTAATTACAATTAACTAGGAAAGATAAGAGCCTCAGCAATTCTCAGGTAGCATCAATTTTTGGGGGGTTATTGATTTACGGCAATTTCATAGATTTAATACTAATTGTACACTTTTTAAAAAATTTTTCATAACTTAAAAGGATTGACTTAAATATTAAACGCGTTTCATTTGAATAGTTACAGTGAATTGAGTATTCACATGCAAGACGAAGGAAAAACAGACAACTGAAAATTTATGAAAACAATTATTTCATGTTTGCAACAATTTCATTTGCTCATGTTATCAATTCCGTCTTCCGGGTTAAGCTTTTTTCCCTGTGTCCTTATGGAAACCCAAGTTCAAATTAGAAACCGAATGTATGACATTTAGGCTTGCAAGAGTTTAAGTCTCTGCTGAAATAATGACAGTTTTTCACTCTCTATTTATGTCTATAAGAGAAGTAGATATAATGGAAATCATATGAAAAACCCTCCAAAAGGCTTCCAGCCTCAAGAGAGTCAGCTAATAGAATAACAAATCTCTAGAGGATCCTTTAGAAAGAAAATGCCTGTCAAATAGCACCTTTGGTACTTTCTGGGGAAAAATGCTTTTATGATACTATTACTGGTTTGGAGTTCAAGCCTACATAAAAAGTACTTTAGTTTGGTCACAATACTTATTATCTGTGAGGAAAAATATCCTGAAGTTGCTATATGTGGTTACTGGAAAACTTCACTATAGTACTGCAATTTAAATACTAAGAAAAGTGGAATTAGCACATTGTATTCGCTAGAGCACTTAACGTCTCTTAAGTAAGCAACATTAAGCACATACCTTTAAATGCAGAAAAAAAATATCCATTTCCTAAATCAATGGAGGTCAATAGAATGGGTCAATATGAGGTTATTTATTTTCAAGGAATAAATAGCAACATTTACTGCATCTCTTAAAATAATGTTAAACTTTCAGTCGGTCTCCCAGTGAAGGACAGGGCAGATATTCGGAAGAAACTGGACCAGCTCCAGCTTGGCCACCCAGCCAGGGTTAGAAATTTGCACTTGTTCTGTGTTTCCAGATCCACATATTTTGTATAAATATAGTCCGTGTTATCAGAAACAACTCGATCAACTGCAGGAGCGTCACTGCAGATTTTTGTTGGTTATATTCTAGGTACCAGTCTTTTCAATTAGTAACTTTCCTTCACACCCGCAAAGTAAAATGCCTAGAAGGCAGGTCTTCGGTTCTTCATCTTGCACCACTAAGATTTATGAATCTGGTTGAGAAACTTGGGTGAGAACAGAGGAAAAGGTGGGGAAGGCAGCCACAGAGGAGTTACAGATACCGGCTCCAAATAATTTTCCTTCCAAAGTGCCCTATTTACCTGAGACCGTGTCTTAAACGTTGCTGTGTTAAGTACGTTAATCAATACTTGTTGAATTGAACCAGCAATTTTGGAAGGTTCTACCCAAGGCTAAACACAAACAGCCCGACCTATTCCTTTCTCACTTTTCCTGCGACTCAGAAATAACTTTAGAATATTTGTTGACGGTTGTTACTTTAGACTCTCTATAGAAACAACCCGATACTTTTCCGTGCCAGAAGTAACCTCAAAAATGCGCCATGTCTAACTTTTCAGAAAGCAAAACATAGTCATTAACGCACTGCTCAAGCACACCAGAAGTAAATGTGGGATCACCACACCCCCTTGTAACAAATTACAAGACTCGGTCTGGTTACCTGGAAAGACTGTTGATTAACCAGGCTATAAACCAGGATGAAACCTTGGCCGTTTTTGATGTAGAGATCTCTCATGGAGGCAAACTGCTCAGTGCCCGCGGTGTCCAGAATTTCCAGCACGGAGGGGGAAGAGTCCACTTCGATCTCTTTGCGGTAGAAATCTTCAATGGTGGGGTCATATTTCTCAATGAAAGTCCCGGTGACAAACTGCACGGTGAGGGCAGATTTGCCAACCCCTCCGCTCCCTAACACCACTACCTTGTATTCCCTCATGAGTCTCACCTTCAGCAACTCCTACCAGAGGGAGGGAAAAGAACACCCCGCTAGCTGAGGCGGCTCGGGGAGGCGGAAGGTGGGCGGAAATCTGCGAACCGGGGAGGAGAGTGCGGAGAGGCAGAGGGCCCGACGGGGGAAGAAGAGGAAGTTAAAGGAGGGGGGGAGGGGAAAGAGCCAAGGGGGGGGGGGGGGGGGGGGGGCGGGGATGCCCCTCCTATAGGAACTGCGGCCCAGGCAGGGGGCGTGGGGAGGAGGGCGAGCCCGGAGGGGCGGGGTGGGGAGACGCGCCGCGCCCCCGAGGGAAGCGGTGGGGGCCGCGGATGGGGAGGCCCCCGCGGCCACGGGCGGCCCGGCACCCCTCCCCCGCGCTTCACACAAAGGGGCCCAGGGACCCCGCTTCCTGCTCGCGCCGCCGGGCCGGCCCGGGCCTGTGGGCTCGGCTCCACTCGCTGCCGCCCGGGCGGGTCTCTGGGCCGCGCGGCTCCCGCGGGCGTCGTCCGGCCTGTGGAGGGACAGGGGGCGCGTTACCCGCCGCCCCCCCGCCCCAGCTCCCGCCCGGACCCGGCCGCCTCCGCCAACGCCGTCGCTTACCCCGCAGTCCGCACCCGCCCGGCCGCCCCCCGGGAGGTTCCGTCACGCCGAGGCCATGGCCAGCGGCCGGCTCCTCCGTCTCACCGCCGCCCCAGCGCCGCTGCTCGCGGAGGGGAAAGGGGCGGGGGCCGTCCGGCGGCGGCGGCGGCGGCCACTCCAGGCGAAGCCACCGCTTTTTTTTCTCGGGGGGGGGGGCCCCCCCCCCCCCAGCACACACCCGGAAGGGTTTCCCTGACACACTGGCTGAGGTGCCCCAGTTCCCCGAGACTGGCCGGGATCACTTCCGGTGGGGAAAGTCCCACCTCTCCGGGGCGAGCCGGGTGGCGCTGGGGCCGCGCCCTGCCGAGCGAGGCGGCCGGGGACGCTCCCGGGTCGGGGCCGCGGCCTTGGCATAGGGCCTCGCTGAGGAGCTCCGGCGGCCTCCCTCTCCCCGCCCGCTGCCGCCGCCGCCGTCCCACCCCGAACCCGCTGCAGCCCCTGCGCGTCTCCGCGGCCTGAGGACTCGAGCGGCTGGTTGGCCGGAGCGGGAGGGCCGGCGATCATCTAGCCGCCGGGAGAGCGCCAAACATCCCTGGACTAGAAGTGACGAGGAAAATAAAGCAGCCAAGAAAGTTTATTCTCTTTGCTGGTATTTCTTCCACTTGACGCTTGTCTGAGAAACGCGTGCGAACTCCCTCTAGACTTCGCTATTGCACGGCTTTCGTCGGTGATGGCTTTTACTTGGCCGTGCCTGACAAATCATTAAACACACACGGTACTTTTATCATCCGGCAGATCTGCTCAACTCCACCAGCAAATGCCAGAGTCACCCCTTTCCTCCGTATCACAAGGCTCAAAAACAACAGGACTAGAAATAGACTTTATCTGACAGTAACTCAGCTTTGCCCCCCTATTTGATTCCAACCGCTACACAGCAGGAAAGGTAAGCAACGCTCAGGGAACAGTTGATTGGAAATGTTTCAGGCCGACTAACTGCTTTGAATCTTTTCTTACATGCATGCACTGCAGTTTGCGTGGCTGGCTCTTCCACGCTGAAGTTTGTTTTAACGGTCATCCTTCATGGTCATTGAAACGCACAAGGGAAGGACTGGTGTTAGACACTAAGTTTCTATTTTTAGATAAAATTGTTACTTCTTTCCTATCTTTCCCTCTGCTGACTTTCTATTTGTAAACTTCGTGTCAGCTCCACAGAGCCCCGGGGCCAGAAGGCTAGGTTATATTTCAGGCACGTCACTCCCTCTTTGATTCAAGCATGCACCCAGAAACCTGAGATACTCGGTGGCCAGTCGAGTTAAATTGATTCCAAATTCCCTCACTTGCAAGCCCCCACCAGCCAGACCCTGTACGAAGAGATTTATTACCAAACCCGAACTGGCAGACATTAGAAAGCAGGCAAATCACGGTAGTGTGAAGTTCCCGCTGGGTCTTTCGCGGAGGATTCCCCAATGTCACTTACAGTAGCCAAAGGACGGTTTAGTTCAATTTCTCCTCGGCTCAGGGCTGCTGCAATCTGTCCAGCGAAGTCCCCAGCTCTGGCTCCAGCTGGCCCGAGTCCCGCCTGATATCTGAGGCACTGCCCTCTGCTGGAAGAGGCTGGTTTAGGAGGTAGGAGTCCCCTCATAGGTCACTGCTCCTTCCACATGTGCCGTTGCCCGATTTGGAGCTCTGCTGCCCATCTCCCTGTCTTGCTGTCTCCAGACTGTCTGGTGGGACCCACAGCCCTGCACCAGCCCTGATTGTAACTGAGTCTGCAAATTCCTCTTCTGACCCAGCAATCGCTGTTGAGCAACAGCAGCAGGCCTCTGCTCTGTTACTAAACTGTCACAATAGGGAACTCTTTGAGGTTGTCCCACCTGTTGGCAACTCTCATGGCTCTGATTGTGTTGGCCAAAGTGTTTTGGAGAGAGTTCTTTGTTTCTCCACACAGTGGAACATACTCCTCCCTTCACTACAGAGTCCCACTGGGTCACTCTTATCAGCTACAGGGTTGACAAATGTCCCACTCAGTGTGAAGCTCCCTCCGAACTTTCTTGGGAAGGGGATTCATTACAGCAACACTTAGGAAAGCAAACAGTTGGAAGTAGCTTAAATGTCCTTCAGTAGACAATGCAAAAAGTAATTGTCTAGTGTGTGTGTGTGTGTGTGTGTGTGTGTGTACATTCGCAAAATGGATACTATTCAGCTATTAAAAAGAAAATATTTGTAAGTGCTGATATGAAAAGATGGTCAGGATATGTGATAAGGCTGAAAGCAAGACACTGAGCAAATATACAATTGCTTGCACCTACGTAAAATATGTGGGAGTGTGTGTGATATATAGTTACATAGACATTAAAACCTAAAGGAAGTCATGAACTATCCATGTGAAGTATTCTAAAAGGACTTCCATTTCTCCATCACATTTTAGCTTTTAAACAATGATCAGATGTTATTGGGGACAGGGGGAATAAATATAATTTTATAATATTTTTAAAGGAGAAAAAAAAAGTTATTGATCATTACTTCCCCAAAAAACAAAATCCTGACTATCTAGGGGTCAGTGGACAGGTCGGCCCAAGTTAAACTCCCTCCCGCTGCCTGTTCTTTCCTCCCCAAACATCTCTATACTTAGAAAAGTATTTTCACATACATTATCTCATTAGACTCCAGTTGTTCGCCAGTTTACTTTTATTAGACAATGAGAGTATAAAAACCAATTCCAAGGGCACAATTGAGTGCCAAGGGCTCTGAACTGAACACACAGGCAGTGAAACCGCAGCTTGCCCACCTCCTTCGCTGGGACACCTCAAGCAAGTGATTTCACCTGCCCAAGGGTCTAACTCCTCATCTGTAAAATGGTGCTAACCATTCAATGTGAGAATACAGTGAAGCAGTATAGGTAAAATGCTTAGCTCAGTTCATTGCTCGTGAGGAACACTGAATGAATGCTAGCTGTTTGGTTTTATTTAAAAGATTTAATAAAGTGTTATTTTTTTAAGGCAGTGAACATAAAGAGGAAAACAAAACTTTAAAAGCCCAAGTATCTCCCAGTGGCACAAAAATAATAAGCGAGTTACTCTTTCCAAAGATATTTGTCGTTAAAAGCTTCTTGAGTTTCAGGGGAAAATGTTATTTAGATGCTGGTATATCTGTCAATCCATCTTCTATATGTATTTTTAAAACATAAAAGTGATCTTAGTATACACACCGTTCCCCACCTTGCTTGTTTTCACTTACTGTATCTCGGTAATTGAAAGAATTGCAACAAAATGGTATTGCACTGAAAATTCTCTGGTGAGTATTGCTAAATTGTCCTTCAGAAAGATCATACCAATTTACATTCCTACCAACACAGTATGACCGTATGTGGTTTTTTATAACCTCATCCTAGGTATTACTAATTTTATAGCTGTTACTTGCTTCAGGGTATGCTCAGGACTAAGCAATGTAGGGTAGTATCATAGAAGGAATTCGGGCTTCAGAGTCAAATCTTCCTAACGTCGTTTGCCAGCTAGATCTTCATTCCCTCATTTGTAAAGTTGGACATAATAGCAGTATCTAAGCTCATAAGGCTCCTTTGAAGAATAAATGAGACGATGCAGTCAAAGCACTTAATTTTCTAAACACTAACTGCTTAATACATGTAAACTGCTCAGATAATAACTTTCCGCTCCCAAGGTTCAAGGATGGGGGAGGGCAATTTCTCCAGAGAGTATGCCCTTGAGATTTAGAACTTTTGCTTTAATTCCAAATCAGCCTCCACTCCAAAGTAACTATTGCTCAGGGAATCATTTGTAAGAACACAGCTGATTTTTAGCGTTGTGAAGAAATCATAGGGTATAAACTGTATGCAGAACATGTAACTTACAGGTACACAATCCTGTTTTATGCAATTAGCTTGGCACAAGTTTAAAGTGTGAACGTTTGCTTTGGGCACCGATTGTTCACTTCTGTTATCCCTCCCTTTCCAGTTTATACCTCTTTCGGTTGTAAACCCTGCAGCCATGAACTGTTCTGGATCGTTTTCCCTCACTTCCACCCTCCCAGTGAGCCCTTTCACCTTCCAGATCCTGGGAAGAAACCCAAGCACCGTTCTATTCGTGTCCCAGACGCTTCCCTCTCTTTGGCTTGAAGTTGCCTTTGGATTAGCAGAACCCGCGTCAGTAGTGTCCTGGGTCATTGCCTCCGGAATCTTCGGCAGGGCATCGCCTCTTCTTATTTCAGTGCTTTAGGGAGGCCCCTTGATACATATTGTTCTGGGTTCTTCCCAGCTCCTTCTAGCCTCTGAGATTCCAGTCTTCCTTTTCAAATCCTGCCTCCAGCTACACCAGCTGCTGGTTCTGCATATCAGTCTCCCCAGGTACACAGAACCAATTTTATAACTTTATTATCTCTTTCTCATTATAAAAAAAGTTCTTTGCAAAAAAACTCTTTTTTAAAAAGGTGAAATACCACTACCCAAAGAAAATCACCATAAAATTTTAATTCCTTTCACTGTATTTTTCCCTGAGAGTGAAAACATATTTTTTAAACTAAGAATGTGGTCGTGTAATTTTGCACGCTGCATCTTCCACTTACTGAAACTTCACGTCGGCATAAAGAATTAAAAATACTCATGTACCCCTCAAAGTCTGGGTATGCCTTCTTCCCCATAGTGTCACCTCTCTTACAACCCCAACTATGATTTAATCACATTCCAACCTTGCCCACGTGGAATACTTCACCCAACCAATGGGATTTCATGGGAAGGGCTACTTACGGCAGAAGTCACTTCTCCAGCCTGGCCAGGAAAACACTCCTATAGAGGCACAAAACTCTTCTTTTCCTGATGTGACAGCAGAGAAAGTTCTCTCTCTAGGAACTCAGGGGCCTGCTAAATAAGAGTGTAATACACTGATCTGAACTCCTTTCAAATATAGTAGTGAGGAAAGTATTTTGTAATCTGTTAAGAACTAAATACATTTAAGGACTTAGTATTAATAATAAACATCATCTTTTTGTTGTTTATATATGCATGTTTATTGGCAATTTAAATCCGATGTATAAATATACTCGCAACTTACAGGCACTTGAAGGTAACCTGGAGGATTGTAAAATACAGAAGGTGGGGCCCCACCCCCCAGCTTCTGATGCTGGGGTAGGGCAGATAATTTGCATTTCTAAGTTCCCCAATGCTGCTACTGCCAGTCCAGGGACCCCACCTTAAGCACTGCTGTTGTAAAAAAAGTGGTGGGACTTTATACTTGGGCCTTCCCTCCTCAATATTCAACGGTTTACCTATTCATTCATTCATTCATTCATTCATTCAGTCAGTCAGTCATTCGATACACATTGATTACATTCCTACTCTGTGGCAAGCACTTTGCCAGATAATGGGAATAAAAAGATGGATAAGACACAGTGTCCTAAGGAGTTCATGGCCTTTTGAAGAACACGTACAATGAAATCAATGGTTACTACAATGTGACAAGTGTCATGATACAGATATGGCCAGGGTGCTCTGGGAGACTCAGGAAGGGCATTAGGGAAGGTTGTTTTTTTGTTTTGTTTTTTCAGGAGGTGATTGGGCTGTAGGTGAGGAGGTCAGAAGGGGCGGGGGGGGGGGGCAGTAGAGCCAGATAAAGCAAAGCCTTGTGTAGTAACCTGAGGGGTGTGACCTTTCCCCTGAAGGCTGTTGGAAGTCATGGAAGGTGATTTTACAAAGGTCAGGGAGTACTACACTGAGCCAAAGTAGGGGATTCGGCACCCAGGCCCAGGTTCAAATATTGGTCGTGATGCTTATATGACCCAGGGAAAGTTACTTAACCTTCTCTGAGCCTCCCTTTTGGCATGTGTAAAGGGGAAAATAATGTCTGCCTCATTTAGGTGTTGCAAAGACTAAGAAAAAGTACCTAAATGCCTGGCATATGGTAAGTGTTTAATAAACGGTGATTACGGTCAGGT